GCTCGGATCAGGATTATAGAAATAATGAAAAAAATAATAAATTAATAATAATGATGATGTAAGTAGATGTTTAATCAGTGTTTAAGGCGATTGGCCCACGTCACATCATATAAAACACTTGTTTGTGAAATAAAGTTGACATAATGAAAAATTACAGACTGTGCACATATCTCTTATCATGGATCAAAAATAATGATTATAATGATAATGATTGTGATGATGATCAGGATAATAATATGTGAGGCAGCGTGGTGGAATCAGGCTCTCATCAAAATAATCAAAGTGAAGAAACTTGCATTTTTTCGCAGGTTTGTGAATTTTCATCAAATTTTAGTTTTTTCGCTCAACACCTTTCATGCGCATTAAAGAACTCATTTCTGTGTGACTTTTTCTGAAAAACGTTGATTAAAGGCACAAATAATGTAAATTTTCAGTTACCACGGACTCTTAAACTAAGGAAATAACTAATCTTTGGCGGCCATTTTCTCACTCATTTTACCTCTGAAAACAGATGACCCCCACCTCCTTCTTTCGCAAATATGTCGACTTGTAATCAAGATAAATGGATATTTTTTTCATCCAAATAAACACAAGTAAACAACCTTTAAGACTATATCAGTAACTCTACATGCCCAAAAACTGACGAGAGCCTGATTCCACCACGCTGCCTCACATATTGGTATTGATGATGATGATGATGATATAATAATAATATATGATTTGACGTAGATCTACTTACTATTTTATATTCATACCACTTCTTGCCATAGCCTTCAATGTTCTCTGGTCTTTCCGATTTGTTTTTATCGCACATTTTGACATTATGACGTGTATGCGCACATTTTGGTTGCTATAGCTTGTAGTCCATAGATTTTCCTTTATATTTTTTTGTGCATGTTCCCGAAGAAGCCCTTTACCGGGCGAAACGTCGAACTTACTAAATTTGAAAAGTTTACTGTCTCAAACCCTTTTTTATTCCCTGCTATCTACAATGATGATGATGATGATGATGAAGATGATGATGATAACACATACGTGATATAATATTACTGTGACTGGTGGAGTCACTCGGAGTCTCTCTCTGCCTCTGTCTCTGACGCTGTGCTGTAGTCCAAAAGCGTGTCTTCACTGACCGTCAACACTTTGCTGGCTCCTTGCAGCAGACTGGCCTTTTCTCTTTTGTGGTGGGAAAAATGTGTTTAAGTAAGAGTGTTTTAAAACCACTTGCAACTAAATAAGGTCATAACAGTGTCGAAGATTAGAGGTGCTATGAGATAATAAAAAGCACTAAAAAGGAGGACGAGAAATTAGAACGATAGATGTTTAATAGGAAAGAAGGAGCAAACTATACCAGAGCCCGAACCAACCACCCACAGTGGAAAAAGGGATATCTTTGGTTTAGTTTGGTTAAAGAAAAGCATGTTGTTACGTTGACAGTTTTTTGTTGATAGGGAAAAGACACGATAGAATAAAATACATATAGCATTGACAAAATACACAACAATGTGTGTGTGTTTGTGTGTGTGTGAGTGTGTGTGTGTGTGTGTGTGTGTGTGTGTGTGTGT